GCTCTTGGCATGGTCACCTATCTCCCCTCACTCCAAGTAGCTGAGTAACCCCTCATCCTCTAACTCCCTTACTTTCACACTAGAGACTTTATGGGGTTTAAATTCCTAAAATAGAGACTTTCTACAGAGTTTGCCTTGATCATCCATTTTAGCCCCTTTATAGACACTCAGGGCTCATTTTAACACCCATTGCTCCAGCTGCCACCATTTTTGTCACTTGCCTTATTGACAGCTTTCTTTCTCAGAATAAGAGCATTCTCTATTAAAGATTGTGGGATAGTGCCTCTCATTTCTCTCTGGGGGCTGGACACTCCTATACCTGTCTGACCCTGCAGTCTCTCCTCCACCCTTCCTCTAACTCTGCTCTTGATCGTGTGATCCTGACCTGGTCCTGTAGCCTTAGTCAGGACCATCAGGACCCAACCTGACCTGAGCTTCATAGACTAGGCTGGACCCACAGCCTCAGTTCTTCCCCAGGACAGAGTCATAAGCACCAACCCCATCCTGGAGTTCTTGAGAGAGTGGTGCCCAGTTTCCCAAGGAAGTAGCATCAGCCTGTGTCGTATGCACCACTTTCCAGAAGCAAATTACTCATCTGGTTTTAGTTCAGCTGACTCTGACTTTAAACGTGACTTTGAGTCCTCAGAATCATTAACTGCCTAATTGGAAGGCACATGTAGTCTGCAGAACATGGGACTCACCCCCCTAATCTGTCATGCACTGAGCTGTTCTCTGCTAGGAGGAAGGGCGGTTTGGGCTCCCTGCCCTCTGCTCCAGGATGATGTGGAGATGCACCACTGCAGAGTGAGTGATGACTGACCGCAGTCTGCCACTGGTGTCAGCCCACTTTAAAAAATAGGGTTTTTTTAATTGAAAAAGTTATATAAGCACATGGTTAAAAAAATCAAGCACTATAAAGAAGTATACAATGAAAGATACATTTCTTTCCTAGATCTTCTTTCTGTCCATCTCTCCGGAAATCATCTATGCATGTTCATGACGGAAACTCTTCCTACCATTAAGCAGGACATGCCTGAATTCCCCGTTCCTCAGGATGTTCTGTGAATTTCATTTTTTTCTCACAATCTTTATTTTTATTTCTTGGCCATTTTTTACATCAGTGTACTTTGGGGGGAGGGGAGTGTCTCCCCATCATAAAGCAGGAAATGTGGTGGGGAGCAGATCGGTGGAAGCAAGTGAGACAGGAGCAGCTCTGTGAGGCTAATGACATCAACTTTGCCCTTATCAAGTCTCTTCCTTCCACACCAGTCCCTGGTGAGGGAACGCCCACTTCTGGGTGCAGCAGAATGAGGGAGATTTACCTATCAGGAGGAGGTGCTGGCTCCATATAGCAAGGAAAGTTTGCAGAGGAAGCTGCCTTGAGCTTGCCTGGGAAAGTAGGGGGAAGGGCAGCTGGCCTGCTGAAAACCTACCTATTCTACCTAGCACTCTACCCGCCCCCACCAAGGTGCCTAACCACAGAAGGAACCACACATGTCCTTTTAACTTTCTTACATCTCAGTTTCTTATCTGTAAAGTGGGGTTAATGATATCTAGAGTTGTTGCAAAGCTCAAGCAGAGAACTGAGGCAAAAATGTGACAGTTCAGTTCTTCTACTCCATCTATTTCTTCATCTTTTTTCTCCCTGTGTTCCCCCTTCCTCCTTTTCATCTCATTTCCATGCCCAGAAGAGAAATAGTCAAAACAAAAAATATTTTAGAAACCTAAGCAGAACTGTCCCAAGTTCTGCCATAATCACTCATGCATTGCAATTCACTCTCCCCTGTGGGCCTCAATTTCTTCACCTGTAAAATGGGTATAATATTATTTTTATTATTGAGTTATTACATTAAATAAGTAAAATGTTTAACCCACTGCCTGGTACACAACAAGCACTCAGAAAACGTTAGAATGTTAGCCATTATCATGAGCTGTTTTCCTTCTTCCCTTCTGACCTTCAACAAAACAATGTTGAAGCCCACTATGGGTAGCCTCTGTGCTAGGTATTGGGTAGGACACAGAGACACAAAGGTAAATAAGCCATGTCTTTCTTCTCAGGACACCCATAGTCTAGGAAAGGAGGTTGATAAATGTAAGAAGGATTATGACTGGGGCAGAGCCAGGACTAAGGTGAGGGAGGCATTTGCCTTGGGTGCTGAATTGAAGGGGGCAACAAAAAACTCAATAATCAAGTAATATTTAATATAATATTTTAAGAAATAAAAATTAATGTAAATAATCTGTGATGAACAAAGTATCAACTATTTAAAGAAGCGTGCTCTGCTGAGCCATATTGGAGCCTAAGGCAAAAGAAAAAAATGTGTACCCCCATATTCATGTTTTCCTGTAT